AAAATAACACGAGTCTCATTAAGTGTCCAGTTTAAGGGTATTACACAGAAACATTCCAAGGGAACATGAATCAAATATGCACTTTTATTCATTTACAATAAACTCATAAAGTACATCATTCTGATTGAAGCTAAGGGCATACAAAACTGTCCAACAGAAACATGCACTTTATTTATTTACACTAAATATCAAGAGTACATCAAATTAGATTGAAGCTAAGGGCATACAAAACTGACTAACATTAACAACTTAAAACTAGGCTTTTAAAGGTTGGGCCGAATTAAAAATTTAATTAATTATCAATCCTTAAGCCCATTAGTGGGAAAAATAGGGCTGACATTCAGCCTTGATCGAACCTTAGATTTAGTCCAACCAGTTTGGACCATTCTGGTTCGAATGGGTCTTGTGTTTGATCTTTAATTAAAGATTTAATTCAAGAATTAATCTGAAATTAATTACTGATAAAAGATCAAGCAAGAATCAGTCAGATAGGGCTATTCGCACATTCCATCCTGCAAAACAGAGGTTAGATCCCAGTTTGCAGTTTCTTAAACTACAAATCGCAGATAGCGATTTTTCCATCTGCGAAGTCTCCTTCCTACGCTGCCAGCTTCGATCCAAAATAAAATAAAAAGAAATCCTAATTTTCTATTAATATTACATCAGATTGAATCCTATACATTCAGTCTAGACAAAAAAATTATTTACAAACCAGAATGAATGAATAGAAACTACAAATCGCAGGTTCACTACGCCAATCAAGATTTCGCTCTCCAGTTGTACGAATAGCCCATAAATAATAAAGAACAATTCTAAATAAATTTCAGATTTATAAAAATTAATTTCAGATCATTCGCCCATTAACTGAGAACAATTTTCCCAGGAAAACTTTAAACTACACAAATCGGGTAGAACACTTTTTGCATATTTGCGCAGGTTTCAGATCTGGTTTGTTTGGTTCAAGACTTGAACCATGGCTCTGATACCACTGAAGGGAAGCCAGATCCATCACATGAACGCCCAAAAGGTACGGAATAGGGTAGGCGAATTTCAAAAATTTCTCTCCCTTCAACTGGGAATCGTATTCCCTATTTTAGAAAAATCATATTTTTCAATGATCAATCTTGAACCATAAACCGAAGTAGATTTGAAACAAAACAGTGGGAGAGGGATATACTTGATACAGAGAAATAGTATCTCTCAATGGAGGTGTTCACGCCCAAAGAAGATCACCAAAAACTGCTCCCACTGAAGATGACACAATGGATGGAGGAGCAGAATCAGCAGGGTCCATCCCACGAACTGAATTCTTCAACAAGAATCCAATGGAGGCAGTGAGCACAACTTTATATCAGCCTTTCAACAAAGATTGATATCAAGATCCAATCTTGACCACTCCTACAATGTTGGAGAATGAACTGGTAGTATGGCGGCGGCTGGAAGGGATCACAGGGAGAAGGCGCAGTCACACTATGTATTCTTCTCTCTGTAATTCGAGATCTAGTATCTCTGGAACTTCTGGATGGTCTTGATGGTTCGCCCCCTCTTGTTGTAGGCTTAAAGAGATCAGCTCCTGATCTTATCAGGAGTTTCCTAATTCAGATCATTATCTGAATTTGGACTCTCTTTAAGTGATAAGGATAAGACCCTTATTTTATCTGCAGATTAGATCAGCCTTCTCCTGATCTCATCAGGAGGTTTCCAGATCTGAATTCAGATATGATCTCTCTAAGTGGATAGGGTAGGACTCTATCCTATCTGCTAATTTAATCCCAAATTCGCCCCATCTATTTAACTAATCAAATTAGGCCAGTTCGAAATGGGCTTCAGGCCCAATAAGTCTATGTACTCAAAACTGCTTCCAAATTGCTACCCAATTGGGCTTCTTTGTATGGCGTGGGACCCAAGCATTGATCTACACATCATCCACATGGGTTTGGCCCAGCCTTTGTTACAAGGCCTGGCCGAATACACTGTTGTGGATAGTGCACCCCTTGAAACCCATCACATGGGCTTCTATTAGGCCCAACACTTACATTAAGTGGTCATTGGGCCAAGCCACCTTATAAAAACCCAGGGGCTGTGGGCAGATGCAAGATTAGCCCATCAGGCATTATCCTCAGTGGCCTTACACTTAACCTCTCACCCCATAATGATCAAACACTACCCGACAAGAGAGGACCTCTCCCTTGGCTGCAAGGAACAGTGCCGCACTCTCTACTTATATGGATCCCGAGAATTAAAACCTTTTGCAAACATTTTAGAAACCGTAATATATATACTTTTATATCTCATATAAAATATATTTTGCAAAACAAATCTCAACGATTGAAATCGGCTGCCGGCAGTCTTGGTTTCCATCAGAGAGAGTGCATCCCCGATCATTACCTTTGTCCGACAAAGGGGCTGATCCTGTCACTATGATCACCCACTCAGATGAATTCTCAAACTGTCCCAACATACCCAGGTTTTGACCCCCGCTAAGGATCTCACTGATTGGTACATCAAAGACAACCCAATCCAACACCTAGTGCAATATCATAATCGAGTCTAGGGGTCAGGTGTAACTTTCCAGTTTTGCCCATTAATCTCTAAGGTCTAGGGCAATACTGGAATATGGTCCGGTTCAAAGATTCAATTAATCCTACACTGCATGTGCCTTAGGTTTCACCCTGGCGGCTGAGACAAGCCACCCCAACCGACGTGGTGGCACATCAGTGGCAGCCTTATTCGGATAGGTCTCCACAGACCAACCCACCGGCTGTGAACATTCTAAACTATCACGAGTCTCATTAAGTGTCCAGTTTAAGGGTATAACATAGAAACAAACCACAAGAACATGAATCAAATATGCACTTTATTCATTTACAATAAACGTCAAAAGTACATCATTCTGATTGAAGCTAAGGGCATGCAAAGACTGTCTAACACTCCAAACAGCTTGTAACCCTTGATCTCCGTCACGGGGTGGGTTGCGACTGCTACCGTCTTGGTTGGCCATCTGACTGGGTGAACTCTTGCTCTGATACCACCTGACGCAGCGTGACGCACTCGACCGAGCTACTCTACAAGCACCCGGGCGATTGAGTTCGGCTTCAGACTTGAAAGCCTCACGTAAAGAACTAGGCGTAGAGCCTTAGTAGAGAGAATTGATAGATGAAACTCTTGTGTGTCTCATTAAACTCAAAACAGAACTATTTATAATGCATCTGGTAGACTTGTAGAATAACTAGGAGAGTTAAACTTGTAAAACAACTAAAACAACTAAAACAACTAGGAACTGGACTTCTAGACATCTTCGAAATCTTCCTCCGGCTGCCTTTGATATCCCCCGTCTGATAGCCACCATCCTCTAATGCTTATCCAATGCATGGAGCTGTCACCATTATCCTATGGTTGTTGGATCACGTAAGGTCTCTAGACGTGAGAGGCGTGAGCTGTCGTCGGTTGGTGAGCTGGTCCTTCATCACTTAATCACTAAGTCAATTTAATTGGTGATAAAAAAGCTAATGTTGATGAAATGGGTGTGTGGTTGGTGCTGATTTATTAATCTCTAGTTGCATTAGGTTAATAAAGGATTAACTAGGGGTAACTCATGGATGGGTTAAGCTATTAAGATTGACAATACTGCTACTAAAAGTGATTTAGTGACAGAAGAATTAGATTAAAAAGATCAAATTAGGGTAGCTTCTAGGCAGGGGCAATTTAAGGCGCAGGGTTAGATCACTCTAGGGATGGAGAGGCTGCTAATGCTTCTATGGTTGATTAGGCTGAATGAATGCAGAATGCAATGTGTCGAATAGAATGCAAATAAATTAGACCTCTATCATGAGAATAATAAAAACCAAAAAGATATCTACAAAGCATTTGAAAATTATGGCAAAAAAAAAAAGGAAGTGCTTGATTAAAAATAGGATAATTGTACTGAATATTTCATTTGATAAAAATAACTTTATTATGTTTATTTATTTATTTATTTTCCTTCTGATTGGAGGCATGGTCCTAAATACCTTGTTGGTCAGGTTTCTTGAGTGAATTTGTATCTTATGAGGTGGGCTGGATAGAATTCAAGGACTGGATCAGGTTTCCTATCAGTCTGGTGTAGCATTTGGGTTTTACCTCTATACTTGACCCAAAAATGAACTAAGAAAGCCCGTGTTACACTTTGGATCTTTAACCATATTAGACATGTTTGAACACCACTTGAAATAGAATAATTCATTATGTTTGCCTTTGCATTTTAAACCATACCCTTCACTTATAGTTGTTAGAAAAATTAAGGATGAGTTTTTCAGGAGAGCTTTACAAAATTTTGTTCAAACATTTTTAGTCGAAAGCATAATGATTCACTTTAGCTGGCTGAAGATGTGCTCTGAAATTGAAACTCAAACCACAATAAGATCATTTAATTTCATGTGGTTTAAATAGAAGCACTAATCCTGTCGAATTGCAACAAAGGGAACAGGGGGGAATTGCTTATGGCCACTAGACTCCATTAATACAAAAACTTAATGTTCTCCACTAGATGAATCTCGCCCAAGAGATTGCCCAGGCCAAAGTTCTAAATTAACAGTTACAATTGGTGCCCATTAATTTTCTGTGTCCTAAATTCATATATAGAACCAGACATTGGAAAAGACTCTCACAGGTTGGGAACTTTTCACCAATTTTTTGGTGTCACATATAACCACATACAAAGTTAGGTGTTCAGTACATTCTGATCTGACGCCAGAAAATTAAGCTTCTTTTACTAAAGAAATTTCTTGATTAAATCACCAACTTATATTTAATTTATTATATATAAAAATATAAAGTAAGTGAATGTTTAATCATTTGATAATGGAAGATCTGTATAAATTATGTTCTAAGTGGAATTTGAGTCCCACCCCTTTGTTTAGATAGGACAGACAGCACGACGTCCCACTACATTCTTTGAACTCCCATGAAGCCAAAAGAGACACAAACCCAGTCTCTCTTTCCAGCAGTTTCAATGATAGACAGCCATGAAAAGCAAGGCAAGACAAAGAGGGGACAGACTGCTCCAAATTAAAAGAAGCAACTGAAGAAACAAAAAGAAAACCAAAGCTCCAGTCTTCAATATAATTCCAGCTTTAGCTTTAGCCAATCACAAAACCAAAAAAAACCCTAACCCATCTCTCTCTCTCTCTCTGGCTAAAGGAAATCAGTTTTTTTCTTCCTTTTTCATTTTATAAAACATCGTCCATATCACCGACCAGAAACCCTTTTGCCTCTTTATCTCCATTAGCAGCCCCACCAGAATCAGACATTTCCAAGCTAGTGAGCTTCTTAGCGCGCAAGGCTTCTGCTTCCCAATCCGTTCGTATTAAGACGACAAACAGAATGGACACAGCACAAGCAGCTTGAGCTGACAAAAGCCCATACCAAAGGCCACTAAAACCAACCTTGAACCAGAAGGCCAGAGCCACAGCGACGGGCGTCCCAATGCAATAGAAGGACCCAAGGTTGATTCTAGCGCCTGTGGCCGGCCTTGCTGTGCCACGTAAAATGCCACAGCCTGTAGTCTGTGGACAGTTGCCCAGCTCACACAGCCCCATGATGGGCATAACTGCAGACACCAAGAGTCGGACCGCCCCATCTGTAGTGAAGAGACTTGCCCATATCTCTCGAAGAATGGCCGTCCATGTGACGTTGATCATCCCAATCACGAACGCACATCCCAGCGCCACCAGTGCCGCCAGCTTCGCTTTGTATGGCTTCCCTGCTCCTAATTCGTTCCCTACCTGTAGTGGATTATCAAGCAGATTTGGTTGTTTATTTTAATCAAACACCTCTTGATCAGGAAGAGGAAACTGGAAAGATATATAGCTAGAGACTTACTCTGGTGGAGACACAGGCGGCCAAAGCCATCGGAACAGTGTACATGAGGCTTGTGGTCTGAATGAGAATAGCAGTGGAGGCCACAGCCAGCCTAGGATTAGGCAAGTATCCAGAAAGAACGGTCATGATCTCGTACCACCACCACTCCAAACAAATCCCCAGGCAGCTAGGCACGGCCAGACGAAGAAGCGGGCCCAACCCACCACAGACAACTCCAATCCCAGCCGTCCATCTAGTCTCACAGACCCCAGTTACGTACACGTAGCCAGTGATCAAAAGAAGCATATTCATGTTGGTGAGCACTGAAGCCATGGCCACCCCTGGAACGCCAAGCTTCATCACCACCACCAACACAATATTTAAGGGTACGTGAAACAACACCGCGATCAGAGAGCAGTACATCATCGGCTTTGTCACTCCTTGAGACCTCAGATACACTCGTAAAGGCTGCAGAAAAGTGTTTGTTATCAGGTCAGGAAGAGAGTATAAACAGTATGTCGCGGCCATTGCTGTGATTTCTCTGTCTTGGCCCATGAACACCATGATTGCTTCCAAATTCATCCACAGGAAGCTGATGGGTATGCTCGCAATCAGAAGGATTAGGATTGTTCGTTGCAGAGAGAGCGAGATCAGGTCCCTGTTCTTGCTTCCGTAGGCTTGGCTGCATACTGGTTCCAGCCCAGATGCTAGGCCGAACAGAACAGAGTACCCTGTAATGTTGGTGAAGCCGATTGACAGAGCTCCTCCTGCAAGTTCTAAGCTTCCTAGTCGACCCAAGAAGAGAACAGACACCATGGCTCGAATGTAGACTACGCAATTCATCGCCGTTATCGGAAAGGCCATGCTCCATAGCTCTTTCAGCTCTTCTATCACCTGTTGGTGTTTGAATTAAGATGAAAAAACGGTTACAGAAAACAGAGCGTACGAGGATCAGAATGTAGATTCCTTGTTCTTCTTTCTTGAGTAGAGGGTTTACCTGGGTAGCTGATGGGGGCTTCTTCAGTGAGTAATCTGATTCTTTGTCATCCATCTTCGACGTAGAAGAGACGACTTCTGAGTTCTGAGAACGAGCAGCCCTCAAATGCCACCTGAGTTGCAAACTCCCGAATCAAAACGCAGTGATTCTAGAGAGACAGCGGAAGATTCAGAGGAAATAAAGAAAACCCACCTCTGATTCAGAGAGAAGAGAAAGTTCTTGGTTTCAAGAAAGTGGAAGAACAACTGGGTTATTAAATTTCACTACTTTGTGTTTCTGGAGAGATGTCTGAGATGAGAAAAGCTGGGGTCTGTTAATTGGTGAAGACTTTATTATGTGCATATAACAGGTGAAGGACGAAAGTTGTAAATCGAAGTGTAAAGAAGATTTAGAAGGAAAAAGTCACCCATCTCTCGTTTTTTTTTCAATTATATAAACGGTGTGGCTAATGAGACTGCAGACATATAAAGCGAGGGTTACTAATGGCGGCGACTGCGAGCAGGATCTGTGGCTTCAGACGGTGGAGAGAAGAGGCAGGACAAACAAAGGGAAGGGTTCAGCGTTCAGGTTTTTAGGCTTTTTAAACGAAAAGGAAGGGTTCAGCGTTCAGGTTTTTAGGCTTTTTAGAGAGAGAGAGAGAGAACCAAAGGCTAGCTTTTAACCCACTCGTCTCTCGTGCGACTTTATATAGATTTTAATGGCTCGGAGCCTAGACTGTTTGGGATCTCCCAAAGAAACGAGGACTTGTTTGGGATCACCATTAAAGAAAATCTGTTTCTTTGCAGAATTAATTTGGTATTTTTGTTTCCCATGTCATAGGTGCTTATTCATCATCTCTCTCGTGTTATCTATCAATAATAAACAAAAGGAAGAATTGCCAATTATTTTGTATAATCGTCATTTTAAGTAGGATCCTTCTTACGTGCTGCATGGGATTTCATAGATCAAAACCTTGTTTTAATTTCAGCAAAACCTCCAATTATTTTGGTTCTTGAATGTGTATTTTTTGATAAATGGTTCTTGAATGCGAATGAGTAGAGTTCACGTTTCTGCCCCACAACTCCCCACAATACATTCCCGCCGTGTATTGAGAATATTTTCCGATGACGATATTATCGATTCTGGTATTATTATCAGGAGATATTTTCAATACATAACGGGAATGTAGTATGGGGCATTGTGGAGTGGCCCCTTGTGGGGCAGAGATGTGATCTCGTATGAATATTCCACATAAACCCATTTTATGATTATTTTTATGTTAATTAATTTAGGATTTTCTTTCACATCATGGCATGCATGAAAGGAGTAATTTATTAGATATCAAATGGGCCACTCCCCAATCCCCTACAACCAGGTAGAGAGTAAAGGCAGGATCTCTGGTACAACTAGCTAGAGACTTTATTAGGAAGCTAGTTGGTACCTAGTGTAAGGACATGTGCCGTGCACCTATGTAAGGAAAAAATATAGAAGCATAATATCCAAGGTTTAAAACATGAACACGCAGTATACCAAAAAATTGTGTATCGTGCATTTTGAACCATGGATACCTTCTTTTATATATTTTTTCAGCCTGGTATTTGAAAGTTAGGTTGACGAGGATGGATTAACATCTGAAACCTTGAAAACCTTGAAACTCCTAGCACTGATTGTATTCTTAACCTATTAGACCTGTTCTTGGGCCAGGCAGTTTGACAGACTGGCCTGGCCCGATTCATCTTAAATTGGATTTGGACAAAATTTTAAGGCCACATGCTTAGGCTTAAGATCTAAAAATCGGGCCTGATTATTTGTCAAGCTGGGTTCAGGCTATCCCAAATAAACTCAGCCTGATAATATTAAATATATAACAAAAATATAATATATTTGTTAATAATACATAATATATATTATATAATAATAACATTAATAGCAAAAAAGTATTACATATATTAAATGTATAAAATATTATATAATATAATTAATATGTTATAAAATACCTATCAAAGTCAGGCTTCGGGCTTTATATAGGGCTGGGCTTGGGCTCAACATCTAGGCCCGATGATCAGGCCAGGTTTGGGCTCAGGCCTAGTAATTTTCTGTTTATAAAGAGGCAAAGCCTGGCCCGAAACCGACTCGGCCCAGCCCATGAACAGGTCTATTAACTATAAATACTCATATAATATCCATGACATAAAATCAATATATGTTGACCCTATGTGTTTTGGTGATAGCAAACTCATAATGATCTATATAAGTGTGCAGTAATTCTTTAATAAGCTTTTCTATGCTAAATGATATTAGTTATAATGCTACAAAAAATAAAGTGAAAGCTTTGTTGAGGTAAATTCCTATGCTTTAATGAACATCTACACCATCATCATCATCTTTACAACTAAGGAATCTCCAAGCATATCAATCATCAAGGTTGGTTTTAGTGGCCTTTGGTATGGGTCAGCTCAAGCTGCTTGTGTTGTGTCCATTCTATTTGTCGTGTTGATACGAACGGATAGGGAAGCAAAAGCCTTGCGTGCTAAGAAGCTCACAAGCTTGGAAATGTCTGATTCTGGTGGGGTTAATGGGCTGGCTAATGGAGATGAAGAAGCAAAAGGGTTTCTAGTCGGTGATATGGATCATGTTTTATAAAATGAAAAGGGAAGAAAAAAAACTGATTTCATTTAGAGAGAGAGAGATGGGATAGGTTTGTTTTTCGTTTTGTGATGGGCTTAAGCTGGAATTAAAGACTAGAGCTTTGGTTTTTCTTTTTGTTTCTTCAGTTGCTTTTCAATGGTTTTGGAACTTCTTAAAGACAATTTTCTACTACATATCAACAAGGAGAAGATTATATCAAGTTGTATTCAATTGTATTTATTTTTTTTAAGATTTTGATGTAATTAGTTGTATGATGCACTCTAAAGATGCTTAACAAGACTAAACTCAATAAATCTACCCTAGAAAACTTAAACTACAATAAGTTTGGTTCCTAAGCTTTCTTAAGCTTGAACAAAAGATTAAAAACAAGAAAAATATCTATTGAAAGCCATATTAAGCATTTCCATACCACTAGACATAATTCTCCAAAGTTTCTAGGTGTTGAGCTATTTGTAAGGCAAATTTGCCCTAACTATAGAGAGTAGTCAACTACCTAGAAAGATATATCGAGTAACTATATGAAAGCTGAGGCATGCAAAATGCCCAATTTGAGAGGATGTGTCGACTACCCAGAAAGGTAAAGTGGACTACCTTAGATAGATTGGGTTCAAAGCTTACTAGTTGATTGATAAGGAGGAATCCATCGACTAGGATATTAAAAGATTCCTCCCTTCATATTGTGGTTGACTAATGAAGTCGATAGTCGACTACTACAAGAAAATTTGACAATTTGAAGGCTCGAACGACTACTACTATCATTGGAAAGCCTTTTATCATGTTAAAGGAACAATTTTGAATCATTACCATAGTTAGAAAATGATCATTTTCTATCAAATCCTCTATAGATAGAGGAGTTCAACTTGATTCAAATAATAAGAAACAAGATCAAGAGTTTTGAATCATGGCTTGTGAAAAACAACCTACACATTCATTATACATAATGTATATAGTTGTTTTTCAAATAGAGCAAGATAAACTAGAGTCATTTTGATAAAGAGATCCCTAAGCTTCAAAAGTGTTAAAGGTAAGTTTATCTAAGAAGCTATTGAGCATATATTGCCTCATCCATGTATTGGGATCTTTTTCTCTGAGTTGAACATCTATTGGGTACTCTACCAACTAAGTTAGTTTGAGGTTGTATTGTTTTTTTGAGCAAGTAGGTATTCAACTTGTTGAACACCATTAAGGTCTTGTTGGCACCTTTATTAAGCCTAATTACAAGGTATTGCAATTACTTGGAAGCCTTACTCCTTTTAGGACTATCTTTGGTGATATTGATTTCACATACTAAATGGCTAGAATAAGAATCCATCTCATCTCCTTGTACTACAATATTTGGGAACTAATAGAAAATTGTCCGTTTATTGGAGACTGGCAAATGATAAAGCCATTAAACCTCCTTAAGAGAGGTTTGAGCCAAAAGGAAATTGGCAAGATGACTCCATACACATCTGCTCGAGAAATATCTTAATCCTTCTGCATGAAGGGATCACATTTGAAATGATGGTTAAGTTAACCTATGAGGAAAAGGATCAAGGCAGTCAGTACTCATTCATTGATATTCCTTACACAATCAACACCATGAGAGATAAGAAAGAGAACAAATCTACAAAATTTTGCGATAATGATCATGATGGCCTATCTTCACAAATTTCATGAAAGGAGATAGTTCCTCCTTTCCTTCAAGCTTAATAAGAAAAAAGAAGAGTTAGGATATCCTCAAAAGAATATAGACACTACCATGGACATGCCAAGCAGCCAAGGTGGGAATATAAAATCACATCAACTACCTACTCAACAAGTGATTGCTCCTTACTAGTAATGAAAAGTACTCACAATGAGGTAATCCTAAAATCTTCCTCCTTGATCAATTTTATTTTTAGAAAAATGAAGCATAAGAGGATGTTAAGGGAACCTATTAGGAAAACAAGTTCATACAAGATATCCTTTGGCCAAGTTCAAAAGGGTCTTAATGAGTTAATCAGATGGATTGATTTTGAATACAAAGTAGTAAAACTATCCCAAATGCCAATAATCTATTATAAACCTATTATATATATAACATAGTTTTCAAGGAGCCAAGGCGAGGCTAGGCGACAGGGGGCGCCTAGGTGTCACTTAAACGATGGATTGTTTTAAGTAAAAACATGTATCTTAGGATAGTTCCCTAGGTTCCATAATCATATTTCCTTAATAAACATCCATGATTTTCATAAGAAAAGTATAAATTTCATGTTAAAGTACAGAAAATGAACATATTCCAACATATTCATGAGAAGAAAGGGAAGAAAGAAAAGAAAATCCAAAAAATATAGGGGCTGAACCCCTATTTCTGTTAAGGGAAAAGAAGAACAGAAAAGGTGGAAGAAGAAGAAGAAGAAGAAGAAATTATTATATAAAAAAGGAAAAATTAGTAAGGCTTAGTTTGGAAAGAGTACAAATACAAATATGTACAGTACAAATACATACAAAATAATACAAAATATAAGTTTTTGTACTCTTCAAATTTGTATTTGTACTCTTTCCAAACTGAGCCTAAAGAAAAAGAAGAAAATGTGTTGATTGGACAATATTTTATGTTCTTTCTTACTTATTGGTTCAGGTTTTGAAGTCTTTGAGGGTTCAATACAGCATTTAGCAATGTTTGTGTTGATTAAACCCCAACAAATAAGAAAATAACAAAAAGAAATTAGTATATAAGCATACAAAATAAATATTTTAATTTAAAAATATCTATTTTATAATTATAACTTCAAAAAATTAAGAATATAAAAATTTGTTATAACACACAAAATGAATATTTCCTTTTGTGTGAAAATTCTAGAACAAGAAACTAAAAGGGAAGAAATCCAGTCATTTTAGGAAAGAATGCATAGTGCAACAAAGGAACTAATCATGGCTCCTAGAAAAATTAGAGATCTAGTTGCCTAAAAGTGTTCTAGCTAGTTTTTTCTTTTTATTTTATTTTTTATTTTTAAGGATCGAGTTTCTAAAATTAGAAAATTGTGAACTGCTTGCCTAACGCTTCTAAGTAATCAGTACTACTTAAAATAAAAATCATTATTATCCTATGACCTTTGGCTGTTCACCATACTATCTTTTGGGAAAAGTAGATCAGATGGCTTAGAAGGCTATACGAGCTTGTAGGGCACTCATCTCAAGGA